ACTACTTGTTAAGTTCTGCTCATGAAAGACAAAAACAAGATTAAAGTTCCAAAAAATTATGTAATGGATGCTAATAGCCTTTAGAAAATAAATTTATTTAAAAAATAATTTTTAAATAAATATGTAGTTATATATATATATATATATATATATATATATATATTGGATCACTTTTGAAGATCCTTTCTCAAGTTTATTTTTGTTCTACTTTGCTTTTTAGCTTAATAGATGGAGTCTAAATGGGATCTCATTATTAAATATTTTTGGTGGCAACCAGTGTTGCCTGTCCTTTGAAATCAATAGTTTAGTTACAGAGAATATGTGAAGCTTAAGCACATAGGGCCTCAGAATTAAATTTGACTTTTGTTCCAATTCTTTTGGTTATGTCAGTGTTTGTGTTTAATAAATTAGTTTTTGCCTGACTGATTTCCTGTCTGATGCCAGAAACACATGCAGCTTACATGAACACTGAAGACACAAGAAATTAACTTTGATTTCAAGACTTAAAAATTAACTCTCTGAAACAGTGTATATTGATGGCTGGAGAAAGAGCTCAGCATTCTAAATACTTGCTGCTCTTCCAGAGCTTCTAAGTTTAGTTCCTAGTACCTTTGTCAACTGGTTCATAACTGCTTATAACAAATAGGAAATCTTCCTCTGACTTCTGAAGGTACTCACACACCTCAAGATCCTTTCTTGGGTCTTTTTGTTTTGCTTTGCTTTTTAGCTTAATGGATGAAGTCTAGGTCAGATCTCATTATCACATGTCCTTAGTGGCAACCAAAGTCTGGCACATTAAGTTGGAGCAGGACTAAGTCCCTCTTCCCTGCATTAAGGCTGAGAATGGTAGGTATCCCACAATAGGCAATGGGCTCCAATAAACTAGCTCATGCACCAGGGATAGATCCTGGTCCTACTGCCAGGGGCCCATCAGACAAACCAAGCTTGACCACTGTCTCCTACATAAGGATGGCCTAGTTGGTCCTATGGAGGCTCCACAGCTGTCTAAAGTTCATGAGTTTCCACGAGATTGGTTCAGCTGTCTCTAGAGATTTCTCCATCATGATCTTGATCTCCTTTGCTCGTATATTGCCTCCTCCCTCTCTTCAACTAGATTCCCAGAGCTCAGCCTGGTGCTTGGTTGGTGATCTCTGCATCTGTCCTACCAGTCATTGGATGAATGCTCTATGATGACATCACCAATCTGATAACAAGGGAAGGGCAGTTCGGGCATTCTCTCCACTATTGCGAGGAATGTTAGCTGGGTCATCCTTGTGGGAAATTTGGGAATTTCCCTAGTACCAGGTTTCTCCCTAACCCCACAGTGGCTCTATCAAAACATCTTTCATCGCTCTCTCACTCCTTCCCTCCCCCCTCGACCTTCCCATTCCCTCATGTTCTCATTGACCTTCCCCTCTCCTTTACCACCCCCACTTACCTCCCATTTACCCAGGAGATCTCACCTAACTCCCCTTCCCAGGGCTATTCATGTGTCCCTCTTAGGGTCCTCCTTCTTACCTAACTTCTCTGTAGCTGTGGATTGTAGTCTGGTTATCATTTGCTTTATGTCTAATATCCTCTTATGAGTGATACATACCATGTCTGTCTTTCTGGGTTTTGCTTACCTCACTCAGTTCCACCCATTTGCCTAAAATTTTCATGTCATTGATTTTACAGTTGGTAATACTTCATTGTGTCAATGTACCACTAAGCTCTTGTGATGCCATCTTGCTCCTTAGGTTGTTGAATGTATTCTTGCATTGGCATCAACCCAAATTTTCCTTTTAACCAGTGCAAGTAATATCTTTGTCTCTTGATCCAATTGTTGTAGTCACTGTGTGTGTCTCGAGGAGCTGCTGAGGTTGTGGAGGAACGGGTAGGTTTGGTGGTAAAGTAAAACTTGCAGATTACAGGATCTGATGGGGAGGTTTGTGCAGCCTGCCTACAATAGGCTTGCTGCTGACCAGTTCGTGTGATTGAGATGGGTGGGGGAGAGGCTCGGGGTTTATCTTCCCCCCTCAGGGCCTAGGGCCTAGAGACTGAGTTACCACTTATTCCACTCTGTGTGGTCACTCTCTGTGTCTCAAGGAGCCCCAGAGGCATGGGTCCTTTACTTCATTTCTGAACACTCTGCTGCTGCAGTCGGCAAACCCTTTGTTTCCAACCCAGCAGAATTGCAATGCCTTTGTGGATGTGTGAGGCATGGGCCAGTAAGTTCCCAGAGGAAACCCCAGAAAATGTAGGATTTACTTCCTTTTCCCACTTTGTTACAAGAGGGAGGCCCTTGTTTGTTCCTGGCACCAATTGTAGTAGGAGCCTACTTGTTCATCCGGGCCACCCAGAAACCCAAATAATCACACAGAAACTGTATTAATTAAATTACTGCTTGGGCCATTAGCTCTAGCTTCTTATTGGCTAACTTTTACATCTTTATCTAACCCATTTCTACTAATCTGTATATCATCATGAGGTCATGGCCTACCAGCAAAATTTCAGTACATCTATCTCTGTCAGCGGATCATGGCATCTCCCTGACTCTGCCTTCTTCCTCCCAGCATTCTGTTCCATCTTCTCTGCCTACTGAAGCTCTGCCCTACCAACAGGCTAAAGCAGTTTCTTTATTCATTAATGGTAATCACAGCACACAGAAGGGACTCCTACATCACATCCAGTGTTGTGGGACAATGGTTTTACACTGTAAACAATTGTTTCTTGTATTTGTATAATAAAATTTTGATTGGTCAGTAGCCAGGCAGGGCAACCATCCAGGAAATAGAGGCAGGGAAATGAGAACAGGAGAAATCTGGAAAGAGGATTCTGCAAACTGCTGTTGTGACCCAGCCACTGAGCAAGATGTGACTGCCTCACCAAAAAAGGTACCAAGCCACATGGCTAACATAGACAAGAATTATGGGCTAATGTAAGTTATAAGAATTACTTAATGAGAAGCCTGAGCTAATGGATCAATCAGTTGATAACTAATATAGACCTCTGTGTGATTAATTGGGACTTAATGGCTGCAGGACCTGGTAGAACAGAAAACTTTGGACAACACCCTTTCAGTATTTAAATACCCTCTTGTTCTTTTCTATTGTTAGTTGCTCTCCAAGGCTTTAAAAATGTATTTATGTGGCATCGGCAGGAAGTCAGGCACACTATAATCTGGCCCACTCTCATGATATGGTCATTGTCTCCATAAGATTCCTAAACCTTCTTTAAAAACAATTTTCTCTGACCTTAAAAAATGTGTAAATTAGTCCTTTGCAAGACACAGTGTCCTCTTGCTTTTGACTAACAAGCTTCCAATTGTCTATATATCAGCTATCCAGTACATTCTGTCTGTTTCTGCATGTAGGTCCTCCAGTTGTACCTTTTATAGCACACTCATTGCCTTTGTGTTGTGGGACCCATTTCTCTGTATTTGTGTCCTTTGATCCTTCCTTCTAGGGTTATAAGCTTCATGAAAACAGAACTGCTTTCCCCCATGCCTGACTAGAGAATGTCTCACAGGCATTTGTTGCTTTTTTGATGATTGTATGGGTGTTATGGAGGTTGTGGTGGTTTGAATGGGAATGGTCCCTGTAAGCCCAGTTAGTAGGATTGCTTGGGAAGGAAGTGTGGGCTTGTTGGAGGAAGAGTGTCACTGGGAGTGGGCTTTGGAGTTTCAGAAGCCCATGCAAGGCCCAATGTGTCTCTCTGCCTTCAATTTGTGGGTCAGATGTGAGTTCTCAGCTGTTGCTACAGCACCACACCTGTCTGCCTGCCACGATGGTCTCCATCATGACGGTCAAGGACAAACACTCTGAAACTGTAAGCAAGTTCTAATTAAATTCTGTCTGCTCTAAGTTCCCTTAGTTATGGTGTTTCCTCATAGCATTAGAATAGTAACTAAGACAGGAGTGATTCTTTCAAACCATTGATAAGAGAATCCATTGCTATATATAGAGGCAGACAACAATGGATTGTCATCTACTCTGCTCAAATTATTTTGTTTCATATACTCATGCTTAAGCAGTTATTCTGCCCTTCTCTAAAGACCCATGAGTATCTATAACTTTGAGTGGCTTTGCATGACAGTGACACAAAGCAGGTGCTTCAAAGTAAGTTTATTTAAAAAAAATTAAACACAAAATAACTTGAAATATCTTATGGCAACATGTGTATATGTGGTAAAGGTCTATGTGTGTATGTGTGTGTCAGTGTGTGTCTATGTGTGTGTGTCTATTCATGTGTGTGAGTAGGGATGCATGAATGCCATGGCATGTGTGTGACGGTCAGTAGACAACCTTCCTCTCAGTCCTCACCATGCACCTTGGTTGAGACAGAGTTTCTTGTTCAAGCATGCATAAACAGGTTAGCTGTACTGCAAGATTTGAAGAATTCTCTTGCCTCTGCTTCTCATCTCACTGTGGAGACACAAAGATTACAGATGGTAGCATACTATTGCGTGTAGCACTTTGTGGGTTTGGGGTGTTCAAGCTCTGGTCAACAGGCTACATAGCAAGTATTTTGCACACTGGACCATCTCCCCAACTGTTCTGGCAGTTTTTATAACATTCTCCAAAGATCTATCTGAGAACATTGATAATGTATAATTAAAGTCATCTGCTTTGGCATTATTATATAACTTAAAAAAATATGGCTTAAGAATACATGGTCCACTATTCCCCACTGTTCAAGGCTTATGCTTCCCTGAAGTTAAGGGATGCATCGCATGCATTACACATCTAAAGAGTTCTAACAGACCATCCTAAAGAAGAGTACTACTGCAACAAGCACTGAGATAGGTTTTCTTTCCTTTAGGAATCAGAAACATTTGGGGAATGAGACTTTGGATATGTTAGAATGATATTGAGTTCTCTGTGATTTCCACTAGAAACCATCATCTAGCATAGGTCTTTGTTCTTTGAAGTTGCCGAATAAGTGCTTAGTTAATAAAACAACAAAAATAATCATAACCAAAAATTAAAACAAAGGTAATTATAATATACAAACTTTATTTTGTAATCCAAAAACATTACTTTCTTTAAAAAAAAAAAGCTTAGAAACCAGATTTTAGCCTTTGCTCAATAAAATGAGGCTTTCTCTGGGCAGAAGCTGCAGTTAGCCAGCACAGTTCTTACAGCGCTGAAGACCGTTCTCGTTGCAAGCTGTACACTTCAGGGCTTTGAAAGCATCCGTAAAGCAATTTCGAAACACTGACATCTTGCTTCCATGGCACACGGAGCATGGAAGGAAGCCAAAGCCTCCACAGGAGGGACACTCGTGTGGATGCTGTACTCTCTGCATAGGGTGGCAAGAAACAGGAGAGAACAGAAAACTCGTTAATGTAAACAATTCAGTCAGTGTCATGAGAGGTTGTAAAACAACACTGGTAAGATAAATTGTGGCTATGCACCTGACACTTTACTATCCTTTATGCACCGCCATTACTATCCTTGGGACCTAGGAGAAGGACAGCTGCAGGATTCTTTCACGGCCTTCCTTAATGACCACCAATGGCTCAGGCTTGGTTTAGGAAGTCTAGTAAATTTTAGCCTAAGTGTGTTGCATGGCACATACTTTCAAGAGTTTCATCATATGAAAACTTTTTTTGTCAACTAAATAAAGCAAGAGATAATTATTGTCATGAGAAGAAAATATTTTTAGCTTTCCCTTTTGACTCTCTTAACACTTTTTTGCCTTCTAGAAAAAAATACATCCAATGAAGAATTTGAAAATCAGAAAACTGTGAGCTAAAGTTTGAAGAAGCCAATATCTACTGATGATTCGCCATTGTGTTGCCAATTTGAATAATTCTTTAATCTTTCAAAGCATTTTCAAGTGTATCATTATATGCTATTTCCTCCCTCTACCCTCCCCCTCCACATACAGACATCATCTTCAAGAGAGACACAATGCAAGCATCATTACCCTCATTTGATACATAAGAAAACAGACACGGATGTCTTGAGACATGTATGCACATCGTAAACCTTTCTTAATAGCTATCAGTTTTTCCACTTCAAGCAATGATGAAGGATCTCAAATATAGAATAAATACAACCAGGCCCTGTGTGGAAGACAGTATTTCATAAAACCTTACATTCATTTCAGTTTGTTTCTTTGCACACATAAGCTTTCTCGAGTCCACTGTTGGAACTCTCCAAGCCAGGGGTGATTAGAAGCCATTGCAGGATGAGCACAAACAGAATGATGCTAAGTTCCTGACTCGCAGTAAAGGAATTGGGAGCAATGTTTGAAAGCCTGGCTTTGTGCAAAGTTAAAAAAAAATGTAGGCAAAACACACATACAGACACACACATACACACACACACAAACACATACACACACACCTGCAAAATGACAAACTCAGACAAACATATTTGAACCACGCAGATATATACAGTACTGCAATAGAGAGTCAAAATTGCACATTAAAATCTCTAAAAAAAAAAACTGAAAAGGAACCTAAACTAACTGAATTTATTTTCCAATTTCCTACTATACCCAACTAAAAGAATCTAGAATACAAATAAGTAAATGCAATTTTATCCCTATAAGTAATTTCAGAATGTAATTTGGAAAACAAGCATTAGAATATAATCAACTGCATGTCTACATCCTCAGATATCTTTTCATGTATATATTTTCAGTAAGACCCACTTCCTACTATTCTTTGGTTTAGCTCTTATAGTAAGACACAAAATCTATGCAATGTCTTATTTTTAACAGCACAGAATTATTTTGATGTAAAGTAGTTGTTGCCGATCTCAGTGACACAAATTGGAAACCGGAAACGCTCTTAAGATTAAGGAAATTCAAAAGTCTCCCAGATAGATAGATTGAATATAAATGATAATTTGATGATTTTGTAATAGTTCTGTGCAAGAATTGGTCCGTGTAAAGAAAAGTAAGTTGGTTTTAAATTTTTCGTAATGCTAAAATGTCTTTGTAAATATTGGGGGGGGGGAGAATATATTTTAAAAGCTAAATATAAGGGAATTAGCAAGTAATTACATAGTCTAATTTCAGAAATAGGATGATCAATGCAATACATCCCTATAATTGTGAGATGATACATTGAGAAATATCAAGCTGGTCTTGTTAGTATACACTTGCAAACCCAGAACTTCAGAAGTAGAGGCAAAAAGACAAAACATGTAAAGTTATTTTTGACTACATAGTGAGTTTGAGGCAAGATGATAGATAGATGATACATAGATGTATAGATGATAGATAGATAGATAGATAGATAGATAGATAGATAGAGATAGACAGACAGACAGACAGACAGACATCATGGCTTATATAAGAATTGCATCAACTAGGCAAAGTAGATGTTAAGCCAGTCGTCTATGGCTTAGAAGAGAGCAACAGGATCAGAAGTCCAGGACTCCATCCATTACTGCAATAGTGTAACAAATTTTGACTTCCTAATAGACCAAGATTGCCACATATTAAAAATAAAAATAAAGAATATTCACAAAATTTGAATTTCAGATAAATCACAAATAATTTTTATAGAAACATATATTTCCTTGGAAGTGGACAACAAACCATAGTTTATGTGAGACTAAAATGGATGTGGGAGTCTAGCTTTGGCAGACTAATAGGGCAGGTGCTGTCAGGCAGCAGGAGGAATGTTTGGAAAAGAGCTGTTTACCAACAGATGTAAATTGTTTGGCTGTTTATAAAAAATGTGCCTCAGCATTTCAGTAACAAACATAAAAGGGCATCAGGTGAACTTTATCTGTAACCAGTTGCCACTGTGTCCTGGAACACTTGTGGACGAAGAAGCTTTAAAATAACATGGTTTTCCAAAAGAATGTGTCTATAATGACAAAGAATAGCAAAGCCAAAATAAGCTGTGAGCTCCAGTCAGTCACCTCGTGCCGTCCTCTCTGTCACCCTCTCGCCCTAAACATTGGACTGTCCATACATAGAACTCAAAATTGTACTGCCACAGAATTAGAGGATCTGAAACATCATAGATCTGAAACAGAGCCTACAAAATTACTTTTGATGAACGAAAACATCAAATGTTATATTCACTAGTACCAGGAGTTTACCCTGACTTCATAATTTATCTGTAAGTCACAACTAATAAATTTCCTAAGAGAAAATTAACATATCAATATTTAAGCCACATTCTTATATTAACAGAGCCACTGGTTTATCAAGACCATCCTAAAATCTTCTCTTTGGAGTCCTTGAATTGTAAAGTAAAATCTTTCATTGATTACTTCGTTATTGACAGGATTCAGTGAACTAATCCACATTGGGCAGATAAAAGGCTGACTGGTACACAATAAGGTTAGGCATTGTAAGCCAGTCTTTTATTACTTTATCACTATCTAAAGTCATATACACCAGCTGCTGTCTCCAGATAAATTAGTCACAGGCTACAGGCCTCAACCATATTCTTTTATATTGGGTTATTTGATTTAAATGCATCAGTATTAGTCTTCTGATTTAAGAGCTTGCCTCGGTAAAGGAAGAGTAAATAATACTTTAAATCTGTTAATTCTGATGCATAAGGCACAGTGATAAAACTACTATGAGACCACTTCTATTCTAATTTTTCTTTTTTTTTTTTTTTATTTTTGAGACAGAGTTTCTCCGTAGCTTTTGGTTCCTGTCCTGGAACTAGCTCTTGTAGACCAGGCTGGCCTCAAACTCACAGAGATCCACCTGCCTCTGCCTCCCGAGTGCTGGGATTAAAGGCGTGCGCCACCACCGCCTGGCATCTATTCTAATTTTTAAAAACAGCTATTTCAACTATCAATGTGAGTCAAGACATAGCTTCTGTGTCATATAAATCTGCTTCTCTTGGCCTGTTGCTCATGTGCAGGGACATGGGCAATATCCTTCAGTAAGTCCCAGCCACTCAGCTTGCCAGAGAAATGTTCACTTGAACAGTATACATGATAGCATTCTTGAGCCAGAAAAAATGTAAATTTATTTGCTGATTTCCTTTTCCTGGCCCCATACAACTGCTAAGCCTTATCCCTCACCTTCACTTAGGATAACCACTAAGCCTTGGACTTGTACTATGAGAACAAAAGGTAGTTGTATGGATGACATGTGGCAACCAATAATATAAATGAGAACTGCAAAACCTGTCAATGTCTTACTAAAGAATAACAGTTGTCTGTCTTCTAGGATGTTCCATAAGAAACAGATCATAGTATTAGAACAGCTTATTCTCTGAACATCATACACTAGATAAATTTCTCGAAAAGTCTTGTGTCTTGTCATGATAAAGTCATATGACCCATTTACCTATGTGTCATCTGAATTGAAAGTCAGAGGAGCATAACTATATAAATAATATCGTGGGCTTTAGAGTCAGACTGATCAGATTCAGGAATCAAACATTTTCTGTAACATCTTGAGCAAATGATTTAGTCTCTTACTATGTCTATTCTCTTACACATATCATGAGAATAATATAACATATTTTAATCACTCAGTATATATAAAACACCAAGCATATTACTTGCTACATGATCAGGATTTAAATGCTTGCGGTCCTGCGAATATTTAACTCCTACCAAAACTAACCAGAGTACTGGATATGTGGGGGCCCACAGAAATGGGTCTGCTCCACTTTGACTGAAGATTAGAGAGTTTAAGCCTGCTCTTGCTCTTTCAAAGTTACTGACAAGAAGCCTGACTTAAGGAGTGGCTACAAACAAGATATCCTGACCTTGGGTGTGGTTACTTGGTGTTTTGGATATTAAGATGGCCCATAGACGTGGATCCACTCCACCTTGACAAAAGATCAGAGAATTCAAGCCTATTCCTGTCTTTTCAAGGATATGACAGGAAGTTTGACCCAGGGAGTGGCTGCCTACAGGATATTTAGTCCGAGGTATATCCACTACATGTCAGCATCAGAATGCTTAACTCAGGAATTACTTTATGTCTCAAATATTGAAGCAAGTAATTGTTCTGTTTGTCCTTTGTGTCATGTTAAAGCAGTTTTTTTGCCTTCTTCCCCTCCTTTCAAATTGGAGTATATAAGCAGATGGAAATAAATGCGGGTGGATTCAGTATTCATTGGGTTACCCCCATGGTACTATTCTCTGTCTCTGTATTTCTTTCATCTCTGTTCCTCTTGCCTAACATTTCTAATCCACATTCCCCTACCCTGGAACATATGAATCCATCAAGGCTGGACCCTGGGAGATGTTGCCCCAACATGTGGCTACGTCATAGATATTCATATTTGAATGTTGCATCCTCATCTGCTTTGCTTGATCATCTAATGCTTCTCTAGGATCTCTCTCCTTGTCTAG